TTCTTTCCATTCCAAATGAAGCTGGAGATTGCCTTTTCCATCTCATTGAAGAATGAAATTGGTATTTGTATTGGGATTGCACTGAACGTGTATATTGCCTTTGGTAGTATTGCCATTTTCACAACATTAAGCCTTCCTATCCATGAGCAGGGAATATTCTTCCACTTCTCTAGGCTTTTTTTTGTTTCTTGTAATGTTTTGTAATTTTCTTTGAAGAGATCTTTTGTGCTTCTAGTTATATTTACTCCCAAATATTTAATCTTGTGATCAGCTATTGTGAAGGGCATAGTGTGCAGTATTTTTATGATAATAGGTTGTGACTTTATATTATTCTTTTTTTAGTTCACTGAGCTTCATGAATTTGTATTTTGCACTGTTTATTTTATTGCTGTTAAGACAGCTTTTGGTTGTTAGGGTCCATCTGCTGCGATACAAAACCTTTGCCACACAAAATTCACAGGCAATGTGAGTTATAAGGTTTATTAGGGAAGCTAACATATTACAATTCAGGCTGGAAACAGTATCTACTTCTTTAGTAAAGAATGCTTCTTATGTGTGCTCTGTAGGCCCTCTGCTCACCAGCCTGGCACTGTTATACAGTTCTCCTAGTCCTGTCAATTGTGGAAATCTCCCCTCAGTGCTCCAATAGGCTTTGGCAAAAGCCTTCAGTTCTGGCTCTGTGGGGCAGCAGTTCCCGTTCAGCTGATAACATCTATCTCTGTCACCTCGGCTGCTGTTGTAATGTCTCTGTCTTTGTCTCCGTCTTGTACAGGAATCCCTGACCCTGAAGGAAGGCCTACACTCTTTCCACCTCCTTTCTTGCTGATAGCAAGATTCTCATTTTCTGTCCTGAACCTGCTCGATGTAAGCCTTGTAGGTGGCAAGAATGACCAATCTCCTCATTAGTAGTCCCCATACCTGCTTTTAAGTTCCTAGTTTAAAATAGTGACAATAGTAAACTATTGTTCACTTTATGTCCACCATTAGTGTAATCTCACCAGGCCATGAAGCAGAAGTCAAAGTCAGTGGCTAGGGAAGCCATGCTGACTGCACCACGTACCCCAGCCTTATGGTTACTACCTGAATTCCTAGAGCCTCATCAAGTACCTTGGACAGAGCATATGATCAAAAAAGTGTTTATCAAAATGAGCAAAAGGTCAGCTAATAAAAAGAAAAACCAGGCCTACAGTCATCAAGATGATTCCAACTCGCCGTGAGCCTCCAAGTTTGAGTAGACCTATGAGAACTTTGTCACATAAGGTTTACCAATCTGTGTATCTGTATGGATGGAAACGTGGAGCTTTCTCAACAGAGTGACTAGTTCAACCTGGCAACCTGTTGCTTATTAAATAGTCTAATGCTAGTGCATAAAAAACCCAGCAGTTAGTATTGTACTACAAAGGCTGTTGGTGCATTAATAACCAATCTATCTGTTCAGTCTTATTAAAACACTTGGAAGGGTATTCAACAACGATAAAAGTGAAATGTATATTGTGAGATCTCACATACTCAAATCACAGTGAATGATTTCTTACCAGCTCTCCTCAGACTTAAAAGGTGAGTGAATGATACAGAAGAAGATCTTTGCTTTGGAATTGTCAGTAGATTTGAACTAACTGGTCCATTTTGATAGCATCCTTGACTAAAAAGGAAAGATAACAGGTTAGGAATTTTTAATTCACAGAAAATGTATTCTTTATCTTCATGGTCTTTAATTCACTTAATAAATATCTGCTTCTACATTTCAGGATTTGAAACCGCTACGTAGTATCTATGGCCTAACACAGACATTCTCTACAATTTTTATTATTTTTTTTTCTGGAAAGGACCAGATAAATAATTTTGGCTTTACAAGCCTTAAAGGCTTTGTTGTTCTAGTTTGTATTGCAGAGCAGCACAAAAGCAGCTGTACCAAAACAAAACCAAGCCCCCCCCAAAGTCTCAAAGTTGAGACTCATAACAACCCTCCCTCAAGTTTCCACAGTCGTAAATTTTTTTATGTGCATGAAAGTTTACAAGTCATACTGGTTTTTCGTTCAGTCACTCACACATTTTGTTTTAGAATGGAAGTTACAATTGATTAATGTATAATGTCTGATCAGCTCCTTACTGTATATTGCCTTTCCCTTCATGCACCCAATTTTTTTCATTATTAATTTTACCTTTATTAATAAGCTTACATTTATTAATTTTTACTCCCCTTCTCCTTCCTTCCCATACCTGTCATTCAGGAATGATTCTGTGTGTAAACTTTTCCTTAGCTTCTCCCCCCCCTCCCCATGACCATTTTATTTTTATCATTCCCCATCCCTGTCTCTCAGGAGCTAGAAGCCTGTCTTTGAGTCTCCCTGGCACCAGTGCTTTCTATAGTCTCACTTATAGTTATCATGCTGTAATCAGGCAACCCTCCCCACAACCCTCAAAACACACACACACACACACACACACACACACGTCACGCAGAGCAGCCTCAGACACAGAAAAAAGTTTAATTTTGCTAAGGTGGAGGGTCCCGGCTCCAGTAGAGAGAGGGATTTGGTTTTGGATTTTGTTTACGTAGGAAATTTGGGGGGAAGGAGGCAATAGGAAAGAGTCTGGGAAAGAATCTGGTCCTTCCGGTCGGCCCTGCCCAAGACACTGTAAAACGGGGAGAGGAAATCTTAACAGAGAAACTAGACACAAGGAGGGAGGGCGGAGGAAGAGATGACAGAGAAACACAAAGACCAAGTCAGGAAGGGCAGACACAAGACAAGGAAGACAAAGGGCAGGACAGCGACAAACACATACCTGATAAAGCACTACTTAATAAATACTACCTTGGTACTGGTACAATGTGAGACACATAGATCAATGGAACAGAATTGAGAACCCAGAAATCAGCCCATCTATTTATGGCCAACTGATTTTTTGACAAGGAGATGAAATCAGTTAGGTGGGGAAATGACAGCTTTTTTAACAAATGGTGTTGGCAAAATTGGAAAACTATCTGCAGAAGAATTAAACAAGATCCCCACCTCACTCTATATACAAAAACCAACTCAAGGTGGATCATGGACCTAGGACTAAAACCAAGGACTATAA